TATATATATATATATATATATATATATATATATATATATATATATTTGTGTGTGTGTGTGTGTAATTAATTATTTATTAAGCCAAGACTTTCAGTAAGAATACATGTTCAGGTGATAGTGTTATGGTTAGACTGACTTCCTGTTACTGACTAGGTTGCCAGAACATGAATATTGGTTGATGCTTCGGGGAGGAAACCGCGTTTGCTGAAGTGCCATAGCTAGCAAGAGAGTGATCTTTACTGTTTCCAAAGTGTCCCCTTCCTTATCATCAGTCATTCTCCATTACATTCGGTTCGGTTCATAGTAAGGCTGATTTCTAAAATCAGAAGTAATCAACAGGGAAACATCTAAGTTACTGAAACATTTATTTTAGGCGTGAGGAAACAGTTCATTCCTTCGTTCATGACAAACAGTTAGTCCCTGAACGCCCTGTTTCCGATATCTTGCAACAGCGTGTGGTCACTGCAGGCGGAGTGGGACTACTTACCCAGCAACGCCACATGGTCTCTGTACGTAGCTTGCTCACTTTCTGGCAGTTCCAGCAACCCGAGACAACCGGCGAAGATAGTGTTGTTGAAGCAGCTCGTCCTGAAGAGGAAGATTGAAAGATGGACGACTTTGTTCAATGGTTAACGCCCCGTGGACGCGAATGAAGTGTGGCGGTCATGGTTTAGAATGCTACCAGGAGTGCAATGTCAACAGGACTACAATAGTGCGATATACCTAATTTCAGAGAATATATGAGATCTTATAGACATGTCTAGATATTTTACAACATACTTGCAATTGACTTCGGTATTGGGATCCCGAGTTACGTTTCCGCACTGATGACACAGATCATTCACCGCTCTTAAGGCAGCCAGGTTGAAAGATCCTTGGCATTCCGAGGGATAGATATCACGTTCTTCGAGGCTGTCTTGCCTCTCGGAGAGAGGCATGAGGAGAAAACGACTGCGGGCATCAGCCTGAGTCATCAACAGCGCTCCGACCACCGCTAAAGTCATCTAAGGTAAGAGACATAATTTGAGATTAACAATATCAGTTTCAACGTGAGGGATGATGATAAAAATGCAACATTCAGGTTGACATCCTCATTAAAAGTTCATTCGAAATCGTTACTATTATTATGCATTATAACCAACAGAATATCATGGTGTTCGTATGTAGTAAGCTTTCAGCAAACATCATCCCTGACTAACATTCTTCCTCTCAAAAAGTTATGCTTCTTAATTATAACAATGTTCAGGAATCTGAACACCAGAAGAGATCTTCGTGAGCAACTTCCACATTTTAAAGGAAAATATCCATTAAACTCGTGGACTTCTGAGGAGGTATAAGAGTATTCCGAATTCCTGCTCCTAAGAGGAAAACAACCTAAGGTCTTCGCTCGCTTCAGAAGTACAGAACCTCGTTCGCCCGTGCAGACGACCAGCAAATGTACTGGAGTCATCCCCGACTTACCATCCGCAAGGCGATCATAGTGAGTAGTACGAAGGAAGCCACGTAAGTTCGGATGATAGTGTCTGTGGGGCGATCTGGAGTCTCGTGGTTAAAGGCCGTTCTGTGCCCTTTATATACTGTGCGTTGTATGGCTGCTTCCGATGTTTTGATGATTGAGCACACGCTCTCAGGCACACATGCATACTCTATACACATGCATTCGTGCAGGAAAGAGGAAGCTTGGCAGCAAGACACGGCAAGGATGTCTAGTGGCAGCGGTTTGAAGGAATGTCTAGAGTTGGATTAAAAGATTGGCAAAGCGATGGTGATAATAATGATAGTCAGTATCATTATTAGTAGTAGTATTATAAAAAAAACCTGTTTGTACAGGTTTGTCTGACGATTCTTTTTCCTCTGTTGGTATATATATATATATATATATATATATATATATATATATATATATATATATATATATATATATGTATGTATGTATGTATATCTATATGTATATTATATATATACTATATATAATGGTATATATGATATAAATATATGTGTACACATGCACACACATATATATATGTAAATATATATATATATATAATTTTTATATATGTATACATATGAATTCATATATATATATATATATATATATATATATATATATATATATATATGTATATATATATATATATATATATATATACATATATATATATATATATATATATATATATATATATATATCCACACACACATGTATGTATATATAAACATTCATGTATATATATACACACATATATATATGTATAGATATAAAAAAAATAATATATCTATCTATCTATCTATCTATCTATCTATATATATATATATATATATATATATATATATATATATATATATATATATATTTACATACATAATATATATACACATGTATACATACATACACACACACAAACATATATGTATATATATATAACAATCCTCCCTGACCTGGCCTCGAACCTAGGTCACTCCGGGTATGAGACCGGAGGGCCAGTACTAAACCAACCATGCCACGCGACCCATTAAAAGGAGTGTGCAACTAGGATCTAACTAGCGAGGTTTTACGCACACTCCCCGTGGGCACTCGGTGGAAATTGATTTAGAAATTCGAAACCGAAGTCAGATATCCTGAAGTATATATATGAAAGATGGAATAATGCAATGCCGCATTGATAGTACTGGCACTCCGGTCTCATACCCGGAGTGACCTAGGTTCGAGGCCAGGTCAGGGAGGATTGTTATATATACATATCAGTGCGTCATTGCATTATTCCATCTTTCATATATATACCTCAGGATATCTGACTTCGGTTTCGAATTTCTAAATCAATTTCCACCGAGTGCCCACGGGGAGTGTGTGTAAAACCTCGCTATCATTACTCATGTATGAGTAGATAGGTAATGTCTATGGAGCTAGTTAGATCCTAGTTGCACACTCCTTTTAGTGGGTCGCGTGGCATGGTTGTTTAGTACTGGCCCTCCGGTCTCATACCCGGAGTGACCTAGGTTCGAGGCCAGGTCAGGGAGGATTGTTATATATATATACATATATGTTTGTGTGTGTGTATTTCTGTATGCATGTGTATATATATTATGTATGTAAATATATATATATATATATATATATATATATATATATATATATATATAGATATATAGATATATAGATATATAGATATATAGATATACAGATATATTATTTTTTACATATATATATATGTGTGTGTGTATATATACATGAATGTTTATATATACATACATGTGTGTGTGGATATATATATATATATATATATATATATATATATATATATATATATATATGAATTCATATGTATACATATATAAAAATTATATATATATATATATATATATATATATATATATATATATATATATATATATTCATATTTACATATATATATATGTGTGTGTGCATGTGTACACATATATTTATATCATATATACCATTATATATAGTATATATAAAATATACATATATATATATACATACATACATACATATATATATATATATATATATATATATATATATATATATATATATATATATATATATATATACCAACAGAGAAAAAAGAATCGTCAGACAAACCTGTACAAACCATAGTCAATAATATTTTTCTTTTTTTATAATACTACTACTAATAATGATACTGACTATCATTATTATCATCATCGCTTTGTCGATCTTTTAATCAAATTCTAGACAATCCTTCAAACCGCTGCCACTAGACATCCTTGCCGTGTCTTGCTGCCAAGCTTCCTCTTTCCTGCACGAATGCATGTGTATAGAGTATGCATGTGTGCCTGAGAGCGTGTGCTCAATCATCAAAACATCGGAAGCAGCCATACAACGCACAGTATATAAAGGGCACAGAACGGCCTTTGACCACGAGACTCCAGATCGCCCCACAGACACTATCATCCGAACTTACGTGGCTTCCTTCGTACTACTCACTATGATCGCCTTGCGGATGGTAAGTCGGGGATGACTCCAGTACATTTGCTGGTCGTCTGCACGGGCGAACGAGGTTCTGTCCCTCTGAAGCGAGCGAAGACCTTAGGTTGTTTTCCTCTTAGGAGCAGGAATTCGGAATACTCTTATACCTTAGAAGTCCACGAGTTTAATGGATATTTTCCACTAAAATACAAGATATCGGAAGTTGCTCACAAAGATCTCTTCTGGTGTTAAGATTCCTTTCTTTAAATCTGGCGTGATCGCCATACATTGTTATAATCAAGAAGCATAACTTTTTGAGCGGAAGAATGTTGGTCAGGGATGATGTTTGCTGAAAGCTTACTACATACAAACACCGTGATATTCTGTTGGTTATAATGCATAATAATAGTAACGATTTCGAATGAACTTTTAATGAGGATGTCAACCTGAATGTTGCATTTTTATCATCATCCCTCACGTTGAAACTGATATTGTTAATCTCAAATTATGTCTCTTACCTTAGATGACTTTAGCGGTGGTCGGAGCGCTGTTGATGACTCAGGCTGATGCCCGCAGTCGTTTTCTCCTCATGCCTCTCTCCGAGAGGCAAGACAGCCTCGAAGAACGTGATATCTATCCCTCGGAATGCCAAGGATCTTTCAACCTGGCTGCCTTGAGAGCGGTGAATGATCTGTGTCATCAGTGCGGAAACGTAACTCGGGATCCCAATACCGAAGTCAATTGCAAGTATGTTGTAAAATATCTAGACATGTCTATAAAATCTCATATATTCTCTGAAATTAGGTATATCGCACTATTGTATTCCTGTTAACATTGCACTCCTGGTAGCATTCTAAACCATGACCGCCACACTTCATTCGCGTCCACGGGGCGTTAACCATTGAACAAAGTCGTCCATCTTTCAATCTTCCTCTTCAGGACGAGCTGCTTCAACAACACTATCTTCGCCGGTTGTCTCGGGTTGCTGGAACTGCCAGAAAGTGAGCAAGCTACGTACAGAGACCATGTGGCGTTACTGGGTAAGTAG